CACCACCAACAGGCAGCAGTGAAGCTGTTCTCTGTACGAGCAAGTGTCCACACAGAGCACTGGGTGTCCTCGACTGCACCCCAGGTCCCTCCTGTCCTGAACACCCAGGGGACCTTTCTAGTCTCAGCTAGAAATGAATGGAAGATGACAGATAATACACATTTCATGTGTGAAGCTGAAACAACCAGTGCATATATTTTTGTATCATGAAATAAGGTTTCTCGCAGACACACAAACTGTCAATACCTTTAATTACCCGTCATGCTTAATATATGTTCCTACCCATCAGGCTCCTTTCTCCCTCCTTTCCTTTCAGTAACACTAAGGATTATTGCTGTTCAGCTTTCTGCTGGTGTATATTGTTTTGCATTGTTGAAATGTCAGGTTTGTCTCACTGGCATAATTTTGTGGTATTAATGTTCCCGTTTGGCTACACAACTGTATATTCCCCGTGCTGCTGCGAGAGTCACAATCTCATCCTTTTGTTTCTTCTAATTTTATTACATAAAACACATGGATAAAAATCTCTTTCAACTTTTGGTTGATTTGATGTCTTACTTAACAGACAGCAAAGTTCTGGTTTAAATAGTTTAAATGAGCGAACTTCTAATCTAGGATTTGAGGGGTTTGTACATTACTGGCTAACAGTCCTGAGATCAGCCCATGAACTCTGCTGTGTGGGAAAACAACCATTTTAATAGAGCACTATATATGGTTTTGATCTCCTTAGAAACAGATGTTTTGAAGGGATCATTGTGTCTTTTCTAATCAATACTTCTATTGGAAAAGAGGTGTTTAGTCCAGCAGAAATCTGCCATCTAGTTCTGTTACTGTATTCCCTTGCTTGTATTTTAAAATCAAATTTAATTTCATTTTCTACCCAGTGCATAAGGATGTGTAACCAGAACTTGATCTCGTTTGAAGATTGTGTCTGTGTTTGGTTCCATGCTGTACTTAATTATAACTTTCTTTCTTCAGAGACTGTTCTTACTCCACAAATACTCTTTAGTGTTAAAGTGTAAGAAGATATTGTCCTTATATTCCTTAACTAATGGGTTATTAATAAAATACTTTAAAAAAGAGTGGGATTGGTTTCACAATTCAGTCTGTTACAGCTCACTGAAAGCTATGGAAGGCTGCTCCTGCAGCTGTGCTTGGAGGGGCCGGACCCTGGGAAACGTGCCGTCAGGTGCTGGATTTCAGAGGTGGGCACAGTTTGGGTTCATGGGGCATTTCTTGATCCTTGCTCCTGTCTCAGTTTTGAACTGATTTCTGTAAGAAAATGAAAAAGTACTTGTCCAGTTTCATGCTTCATCTTGCTGGGGAGTTTTTTAAGGTGAAAAATCAGCAGAAGCATCTAGCAGATGACTGGTGAGACTTCTCTTGGGTGGCGTGCTGGCCTGAGCACAGTGAGGTTGTGCCCAGTGAGGTTGGCAAGAGGATATCTGGCAGTGCCCAAGAACGCACTATTAACCTCCCATGCATCTCCCTTTCTTCCTAGGATGCATTCCCTACGTCGGTAGATAGTTCCCATTATTACTTCATGCTGCCAGGACTACAGAGCCATAAAATCTCATTTTATCTGCATTACAGAGGTA